ATGCTGGTGGGCCTTCTGGCCTGCTCCTCCTGCCAGTCGTTCTGGCGCCGTGCGTGGACACGCTGCAAGCGTGTCTGGTCTGGCTCCTTTTCTGTGTGATTCCCACGCCGTTGTTAAGGTCGCCCGCAGTGGTGATGATGGCGTTGCGACGCCTGTTGTTGGTGATTGTCTCTATCCAAGCGAAGAGCTTATTCGTAGTGGCGCAATAGTCATTGCGTGCATTACTTCCCTTGGTGGGCTGCGGCGGGCTGTAGTATCCTATGATGATCGACGTCTGGTCGTGGCGCTGCAGTGTGATGGCCAGTTTTCATCAACTGAATTATGTTAGTGGCTCCGCCTGGTCAATGACTGTAGCATTCCTGGGCCCGCCCTGCAGCGCGATGGTGATCCCCGTGCTCTTGTTGGTGAGGTCTCCTGCTTACCAACCAGCTTCGCAGTATCGTGTGATCCCGCAGCGGTTCTGGGTGATGATGCTTTTTTTTGTTTGTTTGTTTTTTCTGCGTGCTGTTCCCGTCCGTACTATTGCGTCGAAGTTGGACGTTTCTTCATTTGTCTCCGCCAGTCTGTCGGGTTTGCCGAGAGCGAGTTGAAGAGGAACGCTGCAAGAGAGAAGCGGTCCATGCCGCCATGATGCGGGCCGCCGCCGCTTCTGTCGCACGATCGGTGGAATGCCATGGTGGCGGCTTGGGCTGCCCTGGCCATTTCTGAGGCCCAGATGGCAGCTGGAGGATCGGGAGCGGCCAAGAGGGTGGTGTCCAAGAGGGGGGGGTGCAAATCATGACCGATGGCACGTGCGCGGCCCAGCGGGGGGGCCAGGGAGGTAGTGAAATGAGAAGAGGCGCCATGACATCTGGGGAGATATCATGGCCCCCGCCATGGTACCCACCCACCCCCTAGTCGTCACCCCCCTTCTTTGCCGCCCCCGGGAAGAGGAGGAGGAGGAGGAGGAGGAGGAGGAGGAGGAGGAGGAGGACCACTGTAAACCCAAGAGGGTCACACGATGTTGGAATCAGCCCTCCCACGGGCCCAGCCGTTTGAGGGTGTGCCGGGGGTGCTCCCCCCCGGAGAGGGGGGCACGCCCCTGCCCCCCGCTCGGCGCCCTCGCTGCTGCTGCGCATGCCGCCGCTGTCGAGGGTGAGCTGCAGGCTCGTGCAGGGACCCTATGTTCAGGAGCGGAGGAGGAGGAGGAGGAGGAGGAGGAGGAGGAGGAGGAGCAGGAGGAGGAGGAGGAGGAGGAGCAGGGGAGGAGAGGGAGGAGGGGGGGAGGGGGAGGAGGAGGAGGAGGAGGAGGAGGAGAGGAGGAGGAGGAGGAGGAGGAGGAGGGAGAAAGAAGAGGAGGAGGGGGGGGGGTCCAAGAGGGGGGGTGCAAACCATGACTGGCGGCACGTGCGCGGCCCAGCGGGGGGGCCAGGGAGGCCATGAAACAGGAAGAGGCGCCACGAGATCTGAGGGAATGTCATGGCCCACGCCATGATATCGCCCCCCAGTCATCACCCCCCTCTTTGCCGCCCCCGATATGTCGGGGGCGCGCAAACCTCGTCGAAATGATTGAGGAAAATTGAGCCCCATTTGGGGGCTATTGCGCCGGCATAGACCTCGGATCAAGCGGCATTAAGGCGGATTCAGCGGGATTAAGCGGGATTCAGCGGGATTAAGCCGGACTTAGGACCAGTGCAAAATCAGAATTTGACATCCCAGGAGTTGCATCCCAACATGGATTAGCGATCCATGGATTTGGCGCGCGGTCGCCAAATCCATGGAGTTGCCGCGGCTGCCCAAAATGCGGCCGGTGCCGCCTCATCTGGCGGCGGAACTCCGCGATTTCCAATGGAAACGGGACCCGTCGCTGATCCACACCCCCTGATCCATGTTTGCGATCGCCTGGCTACGGGCGTTCAGCCGCCACGCGCTTGTTCAGGCCACGGTGGTCCCCCAGGGACCTGAGGCAACGGCGCTGCCAGCTGCTGTCTTGTAAATCCTGTGGCGCCTCGGTGCACAAGATTGATGAGTCGGGGGGAGGCGGAGGCGGAGGCGGAGGCGGAGGCGGAGGCGGAGGCGGAGGCGGAGGAGGAGAAGGAGGAGGCGGAGGCGGAGGCGGAGGCGAAGGAGGAGGAGGAGGAGGAGGAGGAGGAGGAGGAGGAGGAGGAGGGGCGGGACGGGTTGTGTCGGGATCGTGACTCTGCGGGGTTTCAGTCGCAGCGCTCACGCCCGCGAAGGGGGCTCGGCCCTCGCCTCGCCGCCGGCATCCTTGGATGTGCGAGGTCCAGATGCAGCGACGATCGCCGAAGCCCAGGAGGAAGGAGGGCGGGTAAGGAAGCATTTAAGAACCCCCCCCCTCCGGCAAATCGATAACCCCTCCGCACCATCATCCATATCCGCATCATCATCATCATCATCATCATCATCATCATCATCATCATCATCATCATCATCATCATCATCATCATCATCATCATCATCATCATCATCATCATCATCATCATCATCATCATCATCATCATCATCATCATCATCATCATCATCATCATCATCATCATCATCATCATCATCATCATCATCATCATCATCATCATCATCATCATCATCATCATCATCATCATCATCATCATCATCATCATCATCATCATCATCATCATCATCATCATCATCATCATCATCATCATCATCATCATCATCATCGTGTCCGGGTGCTACAGCTGTCGTTCGGTTATTTCGGCCCTTCGGAATATCGAATAAAAAATGCGGTGCTACGATATCGCCGGGGGGGTTCTTAAATGCTTCCTGGGGTTAGTTACATCTGTCGGAAGCTGTTCGGGTCAAGGAGGTGTATGGCATTCTGTGCCCGAGCTCCGGGACTGGGCCGTGGCCAGTTTGCACGGCCTGAGATCCTCCTCGGACGTCTTGGCTTTTGCTGCTACCCTGAGGCCGAGGGGAAAAGCGATGAATCCGATGTTCTGGAAGAACCTGCCTAAGGCCGGGCTGCGTCTCTGGAGTGGTGGGCCTGCCCCATGTAGTCAGCACACACACACACACTACTCGTGCTCCTCCTTACTTTGGGAGGGAACTCCTGGGAAGTATTCGTGCAAACGGCTGAGGGCTAAGATGACGCAAGTTGAGGGGCTGCTGGACCGATTCCAGCCTGACTCGGCCCAGCATTGAGCCGGACTGGACGGGATTCGCAGGATTCACCCTGCTCAAGACAGATCCCAGATCACGCCGGCATGCCGAATTCAACCTCCCAGGAGTTGCAGCCTGACCCTCGTCCCCTGCCAGTCCACCCATATTCATCCAGTCGCTGCCCTCCTCCTCGCCCCCCCCCCCCCCCCGTTCCCGCCCGCTGCTCCCCAGCTCCCTCCCCCTTCTGCTCCTCTCTGCCCCCCGCGGCGCTGCGCTGCCCCCCCCTCCCTCTCAGCGCCCCTCAAACGGGGACTCCACTAACGGGTACTTTGGCCAGTGACCCAGCGAACCCAACCCTTCCCGATGTGGGCAAAGCTGCAATGCAAGAAAAAGGCCCTAAAGTGGCAACTTTCGGCAAAAGTTCAAAGTACCCGTTAGTAAGAACCCGTTACGGTGCCGTTGACCCTCCCCGCCCCCCACGTGGCGGGAGGCCAGTGGGGTCCGAGCAGATGCGGTCGGAGGACCGCGCCGCATCGCCGATGCACCGCGGACGCATCGGCGATGTCGTCGGCGAGGCGATCGCGATGTGCATCGGCGTCGTCGGCGTGAATGAGATCGAGCTCCGCGTCGAATCGAGCAGCCTGGCCGATGCATCGGCGATGCGGCGCGATCCTCCGACCCCATCGACTCGTAAGCGGCGAAGCAAAAGCACGGGCATTACGTACGATGACACAGCGACCTTGCGCCGCGGCTTGCGTGGGCCGCTAGCGCAACACGCCACACTGGAAACGAGGGCACCTACGCGAGACCCTACGCGGGCATTTTAGGCGCCAACGCCTGTGAAAACGACACCGTTTTTCTGCGTTGCTCTTTTGGGAGGCCAGGCGGCGTGGAGTGGCGCCAACGACGGCGCCCCGCGCCTTTGCCCCTGCGCGCGCTTGCTCGCCGCGATCTCGCTCAAGTCCGAGAACGCGCGCGCCGACGTTTCCAGCAGCTTCGGCGCGTGGCCGTCCAGGAACTGCGCGTCGCTGTCCTGATGGCCGCTGCCGCCGCGGTCGTCGCCTGTCGCCGCCGACGCCAACGCCGCGGCCGACGCCGCCATCGTGGTCTCCGACGTGGCTCGGTCGTCGTGCGGTAACAGATGAGCAGGGTCAGCGCGACCGACCGACTCTGCACTACGAACAAGAAATACCTCCTGCTTTTGAACTCTCTCGCCCGCAGCTTTCTGGAAGCGGGCAGGCGCACCGACGATCAGCGACGATGCATCCTCCGCTCGCGCGCCCGGGCTGAGCGATCACGGTACGATCGTCTCTCTCGCCCTCTCTCCATGTCGGCCCCGAGATCCTCCTTGAATTGGCTCCAGTGGTCCAATTGGGTGGGCGCGCCCTGAGGACACCGGGCCATTAAAAAATTAGGGTACTTGGCCTGGATCGCCAGCTCTCGCACGTGGCGTTTGCCCGCATGGAGCTGTGCAATGAGTGGTTCGAGGGGGGTATGCAGGTGTGGCGCAGGACACTTGCCTGCGCCGATCTTGCGCTCAGGGCGGTCAGGAGGTGCAGTAACGCTAGCGTCACTTTCGACGCATCTGGCCCGCTTTGATCACGCGGGTAAGGAGAGGCAGCTTATACCCCAACTCCAGCCCCGAGAGCAGCAAACTCAAATTCATCAGCAGAGCAGGGCCAAGCTCTGCAGTCATGCATGAAGAGAAGGAACCTGCGCGCTACGGCAAGGACACTGGTGGTTCCTGCCGGGAGTCGAATCATCCTACTCACCAGGCACAGGCGGAGTATCGCAGAAACCATGCCGTCCTCTGGATTAAGGTCCACATTCAGAGCATCACCAGAAACGCACGTCACAGCAGATCGTGCCGTCGCCGATGACCACTACGTCGCGCTGGAGAAATCGGAAACTTGTCGCGCTCGCAAAGGTGTTGAGTCGCTGTCTCCGATCGGAGAGGTGTCGGGCTGTACCTCGGCGACGCTCAGCCTGACCGCGGACACCCTCGAGCTGTCTACCGATGGCCGCGTCGGCCAACGGTGCGAGAAACGGTGCTCCGCCTCGCTCGGCTGCCTGAGCTCAAGCTGATCCTTCAGTCCGCGGATCTCTGTCATGACTTTCTTGCTGGCCTTTCGGCTCTCGCGCAGCAGGGTGGCCACCTCCGAGCTCTTGGCCTGCCCGCGCAGCCTCATGCACCCGAGGGCGAAGTCCTCGACTTTGACCTCGCCCTTCCCGTCCTTGTCCAGCAGGCTGAACAGCCCGGCGGCGTCCGAGGTGTCGAGCGCCTGCGTCGTGAAGAAGGCCTGGGCCTCCTCGTTCTTGAGGTAGTCTCTGAAGTCCTGCCACGTGATCTTGCCATCCTGGTCCTCGTCCACCTCCTCGAAGATGCGCCGCATCTCCACAATGAACGCCTCCTGCGCGGCCAGCTCGGCCTGCGTGGCAACGTCCCTGTCCGACCTGCTGAGCTCACGCGCCCGTTCCACGAACATGGAGGTAAGAACGTTCAACGCCCCGACCAGCACGAAAACGACATACACCGCGAACATGACCAGATATCCGCCACCCGTAGGCATTGAATGCAGCGTCTTCAGAATCTCAACATCCCTCAACCCAGACATCATCCAATCCTCCGTCGCAATGTTGTTCACACTGTGGCGCCCCAGAGGGACCCCTTCCCAAAGACCGGCGTTCTACTTTCTATCCTGAACAGGCGGAGAATTGTCTAAAACGTCAGTCGTGATTCTTCGCAACGAGAAAATGTCAGGGCTGGAGTGCGAGAACTCCCTAATAGCCCCGGCCCTCCAACTTACGGACACCCTGGACGCCCTCACGGGCACCCCTGGGGGTTCGTCGCCAGGCTGTTCCAGAGGCATCGGGAGCGCGGCTCGGGATCCAAAGTTCCAAGATGCCCAAAATGCCTTCAGGCGGTTTGATGGAGCCCGTCCTGGGGTTCGGACAACCTGGGTCGTCTGGAATTTCCCCAGGGCCAGCCAAGAGGGCCAAAATGACGTGGGCATTTCCCCCAGCGAACGGCCGTGGCCGCTAGATTTTAACAACAATGCCCCCGACCTTCTCAGCATAACGCGGCCGCCAAGAGTCAAGACTCCCCAAGAGTGCCTGAGTATCCCGCCTCGCCGCGAGTCCTCGACGAATGACGACCAACAGGTTTTGGGCATACGCCCCAAATGCCGCGGGCGATAGGTCGCGTCCTAAGCGAATGACAACATAACGGCCGCCACGCCAAACTGAGCCCCGGAAGCGGCAGGGCTGTTGTTTTACCGTTTTCGAAGATGTGTCTCTTGAACATCGAAAGTGCAACAAAAACTGCGACGGGAAACGACAAAAAAACGGCTGCAAATTTGGAGCCGGAACCGGAACGGGTAAACAAGCGGCGACGGAACCGGTAACAAAAATGGCGTCGGAGCATCAAAAAAACGGCCAAACGGAACCAGTAAAAAACTACCCTGCCGTTTCCAGGGCCCGCTAAGCGTCACGCCCCTTGACTCCGAGAGTACCCGGGTATCCCGCCTCGCGCAAATTTCAAACACACAATGCGCTCGCCGATGGATGCGACATAACATATAAAATTTACAGACACACACGCACACACACCACACGTGCAAGCAACACACAAAGTGCGGACACCAGTGCCCTTGCGAAGCGGCACACACAACCAACTCATGCAACATTGGGGGATGAAGACGCACAAAGGACAGACATTGGCATACTATGCACACATGCACACAATATCAAAACGAATGCCACATGGCAAATCAACACAACGACAACATTCATCTAAGACTCGAATACAAGACATCTGCATAAACTGATACGCGTATCCGCAATGATAAAGCCGTGCATCCAACGTATGTCTGCTAGTGTGGGCCCCGAGCAATGGATTACTGAATTCTTGACGCTTCGCGTATCCCCACCAGACAGGACCGTCTCCATGGTCGCCAGTTCCACACAACAGGCAGATGAGGCTGATGTCCCCGGCCCAAGCGACAGCGATACTTCCCACAGTCCGCCAGTCCTGTGGACCCAGCCCCCACCAAGGGTCGAGTCAGCAGCCTGGACGCCTTTCGCTACTGCCCGCTCCCGCTCACTCCAGGAAGAGATCGGAGACGGCAGAGATCTAGGGGGGGCGGGGAGCAAGACAGAGCGCCGTCAGCGCTCCATACCCGAGGACACCACACTTGACCGCGATGCCCGCCCGCCACTTAGCTCGCCGTGGCAGAACCGCAGCTCGGACCGACGGCCAGACCCCCAGGCAGCATCCCTCCCACCCGCGCGCCCAAACGATCCCTTGGGCGGACTCCCCATGCACATGAAGCCTATATCTGCGAGGCTGACACCAAAGTAGACGAACCAGCCTCAGACAAGATCATCAGGCTACAGAAGACGCTGGGAGGCGCATTCAATGGGATTTGGACTGCCTGGGTTCGTAAGGCAGGCAGCAGGCACGGGGGCCCGTGGGTCAACATCAAATCCGACCCCAAGAAGAACAGGGTACAACTATGCGAAGGCTTTCTTCTGGAATGGGAAGAAGCTGGCTACGATGCCTACAAGATGGACGTCGAGCACCAGCTCCACGTGGAGTGCCCAACAGTCATGGAGAAGCATCGCCTTCTGTTACAGCGCGACACGAGGACGCGAGCCCCCAAGGGACGCAGTAGCGACGGCCGCCCGTACCCATGGGCCGTCAGCAGCAATGTCGCGCCAATACCCCCTTCAGTGCCCGACAGGGACAGTGACGCCACGCGTACATCCCCCCCAGGCGAGCCCAGGGGAGATGGCCAGCGGTACCCATGGAGCAAGCCTAGAGAAGCCACAGCTGCCCCGCCGGCATACACCGATTACAGGGTTGCCGCGCAGACGGGCGCATCCAGCTCAGCTGCCCCATGGCACCCATGGCAGTCCTGGGAGGGATGGGACCGCGTGCAAAGCACATGGGCCGGCACAGACTGGAGGACCAGGGAGAAAAGGACCGCCCCTATAGGCGGCGCACACTACGCCAACAAGTGACAGCGAGGACGGGACTTCGACCGCAAGTGACGCCGTCGGGTATGGCCAAGACGCGAGGTCTCGGCTTCAAGCCCAGGAAAGGCTGGCCCCGTCATCGAGGGCCCCGCGGCCACGGGTCACTCTCCCGGCCCCTGTCCCGCCCCCTTGGCTCCCCGTCGGGCGTTTATCAGTGCACGTCTACGGCTCGAGCCTCATTCCACGCCCACAGCCCCAGGCCGCGGCATTGCCCACCTTCCCCCCGTTCATGTCGATGCCCCGTGTTGCCACTCAGCCTGTCTCGGAGCGCAAAGCGTGCTTTCTTGAAGACAACGACCTCGGTCAGCTGGGCGCAGCGTCCACCCAACTATACAGAGTGGCATCCATCGCGCTGACCCTGTGGGCCACATGGGCCCCCGACGCGCCATGCGGGGCCCAATGGGTCGGCAGCCCCATGGTCCTCGAGCGCCCCTTTGCGGCCCGCAAACACGCAACCGGGGAGGGCGAGATGGCGCGGACGGAAGACCCCCCCGGGCCACATCGCCTGAGAGCTGCCCCGTGACCAAGGGGGGCCCGTTTCACCGCAGTGACAGGCAGCAGCCTTAATACCCGCGTCACCTCCTGGGAGTGAGGTGCACAACTCACACTGCGTACAGACTCCCACAGGTCCTCTTGGGCCCTTAGCTCGTGTGGTAAGGCTGCAATAATCCTGCCCGCGGCTCACTCTGGCCTTGTCCACGAGGACATGAGCCCGATTCGCCCGACAGGGCGCACACCTCGGATGGCTGGGCGGCAGGCCTAAGGCCCCCCCCCATGCGCTCCGCACCCTCGACGTCCGACTGCCCCGCGCTGTGGGCTCTCCCCCACCAGGCGGCGCCACACGCCGACGACGTACCGACCGCGCGTGTTGGGTCCTCAATAACGGTGCGAGCCTCTGGCTCCTCTCCCCCCATTTATTCGAATGCTCTGCGGCTATCGGCTGCGCCTCCCCCCCCCCCCCCTCCTGACGCCCTCGTCGACTGTGGTGACTGACCGACGACGTGTGACGTTCACAGACCTGCTCCACATAGGCAGGGGCCACCATGGTCATAGTAAGTCCCTTGGCCGCCCACAGGCAAGCCTCGGGCGAGGGGATGACGCCGGGGACAGATGGCCCCCCACGGGCCGCAACGGCAGTGGGATGTCCCTTCATGAAGAGGGCTCGTTTCACCGCAGTGACAGGCCCCGGCCTTAATACACGTGCTACCTCCTGGGAGCGACGTGCACACTCACACTGTTTTTGACCCCCCACGGTACTCCGTGGGCTCTTAGCCCGTGCGGTCTGGCTGCAATAACCCTGCCCACAGCTCTCTTTGGCCTCAGTGTCATGGGCCCGCGTCGCCCGCCGGCGCGCTCTCTTTGGATGGCCGGGGCGGCAGGCCAAAGGCCCCCCCCATGCGCTCCACACTCCTGAAGTCCGACGGCCTTGCCCACGTGGCTTCTTCCCCCCCCCCACGACGGCGCCACGCGCCACGACTTACCGGCTTCGCGTGTTGGGTCCTCGTCTGGGGGCGTTTGCTTCCGACGCCTCCTCTCCATTTATTCAAATGTTCTGCGGCTATCGGCTGCGCCTACTCTCCTCCCCTCCTGACGCCGCCAACGATTTCTGAGGGTTGACGACGCCCGCAGTTTGGCTCTGGCCAATACCTTGGGACACCTCCTGGGGATGAGGTGCTTCCCTCTCGCATTGCGGGATGATGCTGTGCTCGCTTGGATGGCGCGGGCTTTCGGCCAGCGGCGTCTTGCAGGCCTGGCCTTCCTCGTCTTGGCCGTTCCGCTCTTCGGCGCCGTCGCTCTGGAGTACGACTTCCAGTTCATGTGGTGCATATTGTGCCAGGGTCACGCCTCTCCTGGCCGACGCCACCCCCCTGGCGTCGCCGACCTGTCTGACTCGGGCACGGCGATGTGGCGCCAACCCGTGATTGGGCCCTGTCGACTCGCCAGCGAGCACATGGTGCTCAGTGAGTGAGGCCGCCTGCTTTTCTCCCCCTCCTTCGTTCTTCTGCCTCCTTCGCCCCGCTCCCCCCTCCTTTCCCCTTTTCTTCGCCCTTGGCCCATCTGGGAGCCAGGTGCTCAGTTTCGCTCCTTAGGCCCCCACTATCGTGGGCTAAGCCCGTAGGCCTGGCTGAAATAATCCAGCCCGCGGCTCACTTTGGCCTTGGTCGCAATCACCTGGGCCCGCATCGTCTGCCTGGGCTCTCTCTTTGGTGTGCTGTGGCGGCGGGCCGTTGGCCCCCCCAATGCACCACGCTCGTGCCGCCCGTTTTCGCCGCCTTTTAGAGGCCGGCTTGCATCGCGGCCTTCTTCCTTGGCACGCATTGCTTCCCGGCCTTGTCTCGTGGGGCGCGCGCCTGCGCGTCCGTGTGTTCGGCTGTTGTTAGGGCAGCCCGACTAATATTCTGGCTGGGCGCCTCAATCGTCCCGGTTTGCATGCTGCGCGTGCGTGGGTTGGCGCCCTCTCGACTGCCTTCCTTCTCTCGCCGCTTGGCCTTCTGGAGTTTGTTTCGTGCAGGATTGGTTGTGCGCCTTCCTGCCGGCGCGGCTGACTGTCGTCAGGACGGTCCGCTCTCTAGAATTTGCCCCGTGC